CCATTTCCCCTTGTTCTGTCACTCCTTGCCCCTGTAAAAAGTTCCTCCCCAGCTTTCCTGGAGCCCCTTCGGGTGCTGGAGGGTTGCTAGAAGGTCTCCCTGAAGCCTTCTCTTCTCCAGGCTGAACAGTCCCAACTCTCTCAGCCTGTCCTCACAGCAGACGTGCTGCAGCCCTCTAATTATCCTCGTGGCCTTCTCTGGACTCACTCCAGTAGGTCCATGTCTTTCTTAGTTGGGGGTGCCATAACTGGATGCAGTACTGCAGCTGGGGTCTCACAAGAGTGGAGTAGAGAGGCAGCATCACCTCCCATGACTCTTGTTGCAGCCTAGGAAATGGTTGGCCTTCTGGGCTGTGAGTGTGTGTTTCAATGCTCCCCTTTTCCCCCAAAGAATGCAGCACATTCACAGGCTGTGGCTTCCTTCTTATCTTCTTCCGACATCTTAACTTTCTGCCTGTCTCCTGCTTTCCTGCTGCTTCCAGCATTTCCAGTATGCTCTAGCTTACTCCAGCCCTTCCTTGTTCCGTCGTTTACAGTGATGGGGGGCTGAACAGTATTGCTTTGTTATTGGCAACACTCCTTATGCTTTGTAGGTTCTTCTCAAAGCACAACAACAGGAAACAAGAACTGTTAGCTGGGAATGAGAACTTCAAGGTTATCTGCACGCTCACACAGACACTGTTGTATTAAAGACTTTGCTGCTAGTAATAAGGACTAGAAGAACTTCATTTAGCAAATTTAACTTTTTTTAATGCAAGCCTGAAAATTATGTGTTCATCTTATGTTCAATACAGTGTTAGAAGTCATGGCAGAAGTTTGCATTTCCCTTGCTTCACTAATCTCTTGGACGAGTAGTAGTCAAGGACCAGACTGATACAGGTTCAGTATCTCAAGACAGGTGTCCAGAGTTTGTCTTCCAGTGGCATGGCACAAAGATTAGTAATAGTCACATTTCTACTTGTGGAGTATTTCTCAGGAAGAGAGTGTAGTGGGAAGAGGATCCTAATGTAGTCATAGCTGGACAACGGGGTATTCCGCTTTGTGGGTGGAAGATTTTGGCCAGTACTACTTGGCACCTACAAGTCCGTCTCTCATCTTGCTGTAGTTGGTGTGTGTGTGTGTATAAGAGAGGGGGGAAGGCAAATAAGAGCTAGTTGAACATTAATGCTTAACAGTATTGTATCTTAGTAGTAAGGCTAGATTGGCTCATGGTCTAAAATGGAGAGACAAGGTTAAAAAACTTATTTTCTTTAAATTATAAAGGCCTCATACTGGGGTTTTTTACGCTCAGAACTTCACTATGAAACCCTGCTTGTATAGTCACTCTTTCTGATGGAAGAACTGTTTATTTCTTTTAGCAACCAGCACTTTCAACAGTATGAGATGATTGTGTTGATGACCAAGAGATTATTTAATTTTGTTTCTTTCCTCGCCACCTACCATTAAATAGGGTTGGGTTATGAAACACACTCTGTCAGAAGAAAGTGAAGGTGCTGAGGTTAGAAAATTGACAAGATATGTATTGCCAGTAGAATTATGTATATGTCTAACACACCGTCTAACACGCCTGTTCTTCTGTTTAAAGGAAAAATCTCAGGATTGCATGTATCTCCAATACTGTAAAGTGTGTCAGTCTTATAAGGCACCACGTTCACACCACTGTCGAAAGTGTAACAGGTACTGTCTTTCTTTAAAATTGTCTTAAGTCCATATTAAAGCAGCTTCTCATCTAATGATGAGCTATTAATATAATTTATCTTTCCAAGTCTTGTATCGTGCATTTTTAAGGGTCCCATATGAACACTATATTAATTTCAAGTATTTCAACTTTCTAGTTGTATGATTTCTATATGGTTTTACTGTGTTTTAGTTTAATTATTAAATCTGTCTTTAAGATTTTCTTTTTAGCTTGAAATCGGTTCCTCATAAAAACTTCTTGACAGCATTAAAATGTTGCAGTACTGTTTCAGGGAAGAGAGCCCATGTAAATACCTGAAAGTCTTTCAGTCCTTTGTAAGTTCTGTGTCCAAACATTTGCTTGCTCAGGGCATAGAAAAGCCTCTTGTGTCATCTTTCTAAATGAGAGTTAAATGTTGATTCCAGTGGAAATTTTGGACTGATCTTTACTCTTCACCAAAGTCTTTTTTCAAGGGGAGTCTGTGTGTTAAATGAGCTAAAATTTTGTGCCTTGTTATAGGTTAGTCTTCCAACATACTTGTTTTGAGCTAAAGGACATTTTATTATAGCTGCACTGGAATTTAGTACAACTTGAAAAAAGCAAGCCACTTCAGCTGTCAGCAGCCCAGGCTTAGTTGCATTTGTCTTAGGTTTACTGGGCAGTTCGTCCTCTGAAGGACTTTTAGAGAATGTGGTAAAAGGATATTGCAACATACACATTCATTTGTTATTTCTATAAACACAAGATGCAGTCAGTGTGCTTTTAGGAAGTAGAGTCTGAAACTGAAGAGCAGTGCTGTAATTTGGCTGCATTACCCTGAGATTTAAAATTAGACTCTTTTCCTGGAGTGAAAATCTTTACACTGAGGACTTAGAAAATGGCAGGAGACCCTGATGTTTGCTTTTGCAAAAGCAAGTTCTTTAAATAATTTATCCTTTGTCAAATAAAACAGAAGAAACTGCAGCACATTCTCCAAATAATTTTGCTGATATGCTTTAAGAATTTTCCACCCCCTCAACTCTGGCCAAAGTAACTCATTCCACATGTATTTGTAGCCTGTTGCAATGAAGTCAGTAACTTAAACTGTTGCTGGAAGTCTTCTATGCTATGACAAGTTTCAGTGCATGAATGGAGTCACTTCTTGTGGCCCACCTGAATGGGGTGAGGTTTCTAGCTAAGAACTAGGAACTTCTTCAGAAACACTTGTGCTTATAATTATGTTTACATGTTCAAGAACTTCTACAGTGGCAGCTGAGCATATGCTAATGAAGAATAATTAATTCTTTAAAAGGGAGAAACTGAACTTCCTATTGCTAATGGACTAGCTTAAAAGATAATGGGGTCAGTAGTTCCAAAACAATTAACTGTTATTTGCAAAGGAGCTGGATATTTGTGCAGTTCAATCCTTAGGTTTGGTGCAGATGAATTGCAATATTATAAACAGTGACTTTTATACCTGTTAAATTGATGTGATTTGGGATGTGGACAAATATTTCATCAGGTGTTTTTTTTCACCTGTAAGCTGCACCAAAATAACAAGCTTTATATTGAATTCAAGAATGTCTCTAGGGTGTTGACACTTGTTAAATAGCTTTTGAAAAGGACTTACAGTTGTGTGAGGTGAATACATAGCAATTGATGAAGCTTTCAGAGGGTCTACTACTGAAAAGAAAGAGGCATTAACACGATTCTGTCTATATATGTTCTTTCTGCAAGTAGTTCCTTTATTTTCCTTGTGTGCTTATTTAAAAAAAAAAAAAACACAACAATAATATTAGTACTTAATTATTGTGTTGATAGTTCTTACACATCCCATTCTAGGCCTCTGTCTCCTGTCTCTGGAATATGGTGTCTATTAGCAACCAGCAAGTTTGAGTAAAGAGGAGGAGGGATAACTGGGGGGGGAGGACCAGGAGGGACTTCTTGTTTCGCTTTCTTTCACTTTACAACATGAAATATCATTCTGAATAGCAACAAAACAAGAATTACATTACTGTCCTAAACTGTTGGAAATTGGTGAGTTTAAATGAATGAATGGAGGCCAAATAGTAGAAAGTTAGCTGTCCTTTTCTTTGACCTTTTTGAAAAACATCATATATGTCCTTTATATTAATCACTATTTATTATTTACAGATGTGTCATGAAGATGGATCACCATTGTCCTTGGATCAACAACTGTTGTGGATACCAGAATCATGCATCTTTCACTCTGTTTCTCCTCTTAGCTCCACTGGGATGCATTCACGCTTCTTTCATATTTGTTATGACTATGTACACTCAGCTTTACAACAGAGTAAGAAAACATAATTAAATGCTTAAAATACTGTTTAAGTCAGATGAATAGCTTATCTCTGGAAGTATGAGACAATTTGTTTCCTGAGAAGCAGCATGTGGAATTCCTTGTTATTCTTTGCATATGTGCTCTCAGTTGTGCTCTCTGCCTGTGCGAAGTGTGCTCTCACACAACACACAGAAGTGTAGAGGGGGATTCAGAAAAAGTTCTTTTTATTTTCTTTCCCTTTTTTTTCCCTGTTGCTTCTCATAATCACTAGGAGTTTCCTAGAGCTTTGCATTGACTGAAGACAGTTTCTGAGTAGCACTTCATAGAGAGAGAGACAGGCTGTGTTTTGGCTGGCAGAGGAACTAGCTGCTATTTATTTCCAACACACGGGTTAGATGCTATTTATTTTCTTTTGCTTGACGCTTTTTTAGAATTGTATCTAATTCTTCAAGGAAAAAAAGTACATTATTTTTGTAACTAAAAATAAATTATGTTTAATTTGATTTAAAATGGAAAAACTGCAGCAACAATGAGCTAAGCTTGTTGTGAAATACATCCCTTATCCCTTATCTCAGATCCAAGGTTAAGATTATGAGCTTTGATTTCAGCCTCTGTGGTTGCAATGAAGAGCTTGAAAACATCAACTGAATGTAATAGATGAAGGTTGTGGGTTGTATTTGCAGAGCAGTAATGTTGAGCACTGCTATCTGCTAAAGCTTTCAGAGGAAAACCTGTAGTGTTTCCATTAAAATGGGTACTGTGCTATGCAAACATTTTCTATCTGAAATTGGTGAATGTGTTTTTGTTGACGTCCCAGAGTCTAGATTTTTAGATCTAACTTGTAGAGCTTGCAAGATGACGATTTTGGTTTAGCTTTCCATCTAGAGAAGGCCTACATCTAGCAAATAATGTATTTCTGAAGGGGAAAGGTTTTTTGAATACTTTTTTTTTTTTTAATTACTCCATTTGCATTATAAACCTGTTGGAAGTTGGACACTTGCCTTCAGAGCCAGATTTCTTATTGGCAACTTGTTTTGTTCCAGCAGTCGGAATGGTTTAGAGCTTAATGATGTTTTCCCTTTGCAGATATCATTTGGGTGGAGTTCTGTAAAGATTGACATGAGTGCAGCCAAAAGAGACCCTCGACCCATTATTCCCTTTGGACTGTCTGCATTTGCTGCATCTTTATTTGCCTTAGGACTGGCATTAGGAACAACGATTGCTGTTGGTATGCTGTTTATTATCCAAGTAAGTTTATGGCTTCTGTTACAAAAAAGTTAAAAGCTGTAAGTTTTGCCTGGTTGTGGAGCAGAAATAGAATTCAGGATTGAGATGGGAGCAGTTGTTTAGAGCTTAGGTTGCTGTGTAACTTTTCCAGGATTTTATGCTGCTTTCTCCCAGTTCCTCTGTTGTTACCACAACTTTTTTTCAATTATTTTTCATGGGAGAAATATAATGAACTAAGAAAACATGAGATTCATATTTTATAAGACATGAGGGCTTTATAAACTCTCTGGAGAAGGAAAAATACTTGGTATTTCAGGCGTACATGCCCCTACCCCCGAAAATAGGTATAAACATGCCTGATACGTTCCTTAAAATATTTGAGATTTTTGCAAGGAAACAAAAATACACATTTTAAGCATAAACTGAAATACTGCATGATATTGTCTAAGTGTATAATTTTAGAGGATAACATTAGCATGTATCTATGCTGAATCTTAATTTTGAATGTTTTGTATGTTTCATTTAATCCTATAAAAGTTGCTTTGTCCTTTAAAGCAAATTTAGTTTGTTTTCTTTGCCTAGCTGATATATTTCTGCAGAAAATCAATGCTAATTTCACCTAACACTTTTATTACTAGATGAAAGTAATTTTGACAAATAAAACTTCAATCGAGTCCTGGATTGAAGAAAAGGTAAGCTTTTATTACAGTGTCTTGTACTGTATTGTTACAAAGTTTATTCTTTGTATTTATCAATTTCTTTTTTCACCTCTCTGGATTTAAACCAAAGGCATCATTTCAATTCACCACTGATTTAACACCTACAATCAGCTTTTCTCTTACTGTCTCTGAAATTCACTTAAATGAGAAATCATTTAATTACATAGATCTTTTCTTTTTTGTTTGGGAGAATTGGTGTGAAAATAGAAAAATAGTTCTTTTTAAGACACTTTGCTTATCTACTTGGAATATGTGGGTGTTTTCCTCTGAAACTTGAGTTGTCTTTGGGTCTTGTTATGCTTGCCTGTGTCTTCATTTGCCCACTTTCCTTGCCCATTCTAGGTGGTATGTTTTGGCTCAAGGCTTTCCCCGTTTCCTACTTCTCTGATTAAAATTCAGAGGATTTTCCTTGAATTTGAAGAAGTACTAGAAAATAATGAGATACCTAGTCTGCTCTCCTTTAAACTTCTCTTTGATTTCCATATCTTTATAGAGGTTTTCACAAGATTTTTCAGAAGAAATACAGCAAGGCAGCAGAAGCGAAGTTTAAAGGAAGCAAAACTGACTCAATGTTTACTAACTAGCTCAGTGCTACCAGGTTATTTTGTATAAGTCCACAAACATTTTATTATTACCTTGTCTTTATTTTACTCTGTGTCAAAATTAGCATGAGGATCTTATAGAATCGTAGAATGGTTAGGGTTGACTGTGTATAAGTACCTAAGTATTGTAATGCCTTCTCTTTGCATGGAATCTGGCTCGGCTGGATCCTAGTCCTATTAGAACTTTGAATAATAGGACAATGGCACATAAATGAAAGAAAACCCTGTTACAACTCTATAGTAGAATTTGGAATAATCTGTTAAAATTTTTGTTGTAAAACACAGGCTGCTAATATGTCCTTTCTGAAAACTGAGCACAGATTGTAATACATAATTGTTTAACAAAAAAGACATTATTGCGACAAAGAGAACAAACTCTTCTGTGGCTGCTCCACTAGATGTCATTGTTACTGAAGGAATGAAGAGTTCATGCTTGCAAAACATGGGAGATTCAGAGCATGCCTGTATATGCAATTCTGAGAGGTGGAATAGACACTATCAATCTTGAATTATGCTCATGATTATTAATCAAATAATCCTGAGCTGTGAAAGTTTTGCATGTAACTGAGAAATAGTCAGGAGGCATCAGACCTTTAAAAAAACCCAACCAATCAAAAACACCCATAAAATCAAAGTATGGAGTGGATCAGTCAGTGTAGCCAATTGACTCTGTTGTTAACGAGTAAAGGAGCAGGGGTGACTCAAACCAGAGACACTTCTAAATGCAATGATTTTTGTAAGTAGTTTTAAAAGCCTGGGTTAGTATAGAAGGAATTTACTGCTCTTGCCTCAAAATGTTTGCCTCTAGGTCTCATTGACCCCATACAGGGTTTATGATCTGGCCTTCCTAATATTTACTGCTGAGTTGCAGTTTGTAGGGTATGTTTTTACGTACTGTATTTCTTAATTATTTTCCAGGCCAAAGACAGAATCCAGTACTACCAAACGGGTGAAACCTTTATTTTTCCCTATGACATGGGAAGTAAATGGAAGAACTTCAAGCAAGTGTTTACATGGTCTGGGATTCCTGAGGGAGATGGCCTGGATTGGCCAGTAAGAGAGGGCTGTCATCAATACACATTGACGGTAATTGATCTTCAGTGATATCTCAAGTTAATTCTCCCCACTGCTTTTCTTCACAGTAATGTATCAGCTTTTTAAATAACTAAACTAAACTGACTAGTAATAAATATACTTAAGAAACAGGAATTCTGTCAGATATTCTTCCATTTTTGGTAGACTAAAAAGCTACGCTTTTGTGAGTGCTTTTAAATACTAACAGTATTCCCTGTGTCTGTTAAATGGTTTCAAAACCTGACTTCATTTTGTGTTGAATACACAAGTCCTCTTAAACTAAACACTGCCTAAATTTCTATTTATAATCATTTATAGATAGAGCAACTGAAACAGAAGGCAGACAAGCGAGTAAGAAGTGTAAGTATTTGTGAAGTTTGGTCTCAAATGACTTTGAAATATCAGTATGAATAAATGTAAGTAACTGCTGAAAATATTTCTCGATTTTTAAAACTAGCAATTAAATAAGGACTTTTTGTTTCCACACAAGCAGTGGCTGCAACCTCTGCTTAATTAAACTTAGCTTTTAGCTTTCTTTGGTCCTTAGTTTCCAGATGGTAAGAAATGTGATAATAAAGATGACAGTGCTTCATTGTTAAGCAGTTAATTTAGAATTTAGAGTCCCTTTGACAGCCATTGTCATTATGCTCAAATCTAACAGTATGCTTGAATTAATTTTTTTGGTATGAAACTGTGAGAAAGGTCATAACTCCTTGCAATAATATATTGCTGTGTTCTGTTCAAATTGTAGGTGCGGTATCGAGCAGTAGAAGACTACAGTGGTGTCTGCTGCCCTGTGACTAAAGGTGTTAAAACATTCTTCACAACACCGTGCACGGAAGAACCTAGAATTGCACTGAGTAAAGGGGATCTGATTTTAGCCACAAGAGGCTTAAAGTTAGTGGCTCCACACCTTTAAGTTTGGTTAAAAGAAATGCCGAGATGAGTTCTGGCATCTAATTACCTGTTATGCTTTCTTCCCTAGACACTGGATGTATGGTGAGAAGATTCTCGACTCAGCTGTTGATGGTATGAAGCAGTTATTTTCACTTTTTCTGTCAAAAATTACAATTGATTTTATAGCTGTCTAGAAGTGTGGACAATATTACATGTTCATTTCTCAAAAATGTATAATGACTGATCTTAGTGGCATTAGCTTCTCTCTCCTCTAAAACCACATCCACAGTTTTTGCTCTTTACATGTGGTATATTTGCCAGTTTTGATAAACATTAAATGAACCTGTCAGACTGAAAGAACACTGATCTAGTAGTTTATTAAAGGTTGAGTGGGAAGGGGGACACTTCATACTCTAAGATAAAGTTAGGCTTTGAGACTCTAAAGAGGTTAATAATTATTTCTTTTTCTGATATCAGATTTCCTACCTGAGCACCCCATATACGTATAAGATGTTAGGTTACTCTTTGTATTTCTTAAAAATAAGGAGACGTTATGTCTTTTGGGATTGATTCCAACAACTTTGACATGCATTTACAAAACTAACAACTACAGCTATCAAAGTTGTTAAAGACTTCTGCTCATCTGCAGAGAGACAACATCACAGCCACCTGCATTGAAATTTTTCCTTTTTGTACTTTAGCATTGCTCCTTTGGACTGAGCTAAAATTTTTGCCTGCCAGAGGGTGCATTGAATTCTGTTGTCTCTTCCAAACAACTGTTAATTCATTGTATGTACATCTCGAGTTGGCAAAAGAGAGGTAGCCAGCAGTTACTACTTAGAAAGTGTCTATGCTTTTCATGGGAGGTCTGAGACCTTCATGGGCTAGAAGACCTTCCTTGCTTCAGCAGCTCACTCCAACTCTGAACTATTTCAAACATTAAACCTAAATGAGTCATTGAAATGACCATGGTAATAGGTTGTATTGTGTTACTTATTGTGACGATTAGCAGAAGATATCTGTGCTATATCAAATGGGTTTTTTTTAAAGTCAGGTGAAATGTGGTCTGGGTGGAGAACTTGGTGTGTACTTAAGAGGCTGGATTAGAATTCGAAATAACATTGGCATTTTGGAGAATTAGGCTTCAAAAATAGGATGAGATTTGTTAGGAGTGTATAGCAAAATGCTATAAATAGGCAGACTAACAAGCTGCACTATAAGAAGATGGAAAAATTAATGATTAAGTAGCAATTCTTCTGAGGAAAAAAAGTCAGTCATAATCTTAAGATGAGTCAACACAAAGCATGCATGTCCTACTCAACATTGGCAGAGACTCAGCTGAAATACTGCCACAAGTAAAAGCAGTTACTGCATCTCAAGAAAGAGAAAGATCAGCTTTAAAGACACTGGATGGAAGTTGAGAGGAAAGTGAGAGGAAGACAATGAGAATAATCAGAGGACTAGAAAATGTAACTTGAAAGGGAAGGCTGAAAGAATTGGGGTGGCTTACCTGGAGAGGAAAAGGAGACAGCCAGAGTATATGCAAATAGTCATCAGCTGTGTGAAAGTCTGTTGTAGAGAAGATTCTCAGCTGCTTCCTGTGTCCCTGGTGTGTAGAAAGAGTTGTGACCTTGAATTATAGACAGAAGTTCAGATAGGGTATGAGGTAAGATTTTTCTCATAGTAATGAAGGTAAAGCACGGGAAAACCTTGGAGATCTCTGAAAACACTTTAGGCAGTGGGAGTGAATCCATGTGTCCCCAAGCAATGATATTAGGAATGACTTAGATGTCTTGCCTTGGAGAAGAGAATAACCTAGGTGAGCCCTTGATGTCTCTTCCAGTCCTGTGTTTTTCCTCAATAGTGGGTCATGTTTTGCTCCAAGTTAATGCAACTTTTCATGTCTTAAGGTGGAATAAGAGAACGAGGCTGGTTCCCTAGGAAATGTGTGGAAAAATGCCAATATGACTCTGAAACGGATCAACCAGTGGATGGAGAGAAGAAAAGCAGATAGCCTTCTAATTTTTTAAATAAGAAATGGAATTTTTACTTCAGATCATGTCCTGGTGCCCAAACCACCACAGACCACAATCCTTTACTTGAAATTTTCTGTATATTTAGACTTATGCAATCAATATGTTAGGACAAGGTTTTCTTTTCCTCACAGCTGAAAAGGTTGGATATGTCTGTGCCATGGTTTGCATACTTTTTTAACAATAAATAATTCAAAAAGCCATTCAGTGGATTGCCTTCAAGATGCATCTTTTTCATCCCAAGTCAGCTTTTTTTTTGTTGTTTAAATTGCATTCTGAGATTTCATATTTTAGGTTTTTTTCATCAACCGCATCTGACTGTGATGCGTGCTGCATATCTTTTGTATTTTACTTTCTCTGAAGCTGCCCCTGAAAACTATAAAATAAACCTCTGATTCAAATTCAAGATAAAATTTGTTACCTGTGACTTTTAATACTGTGAATTGTCCACCTCAAATAAATGATACGTTCATATTCACTTGTGAATTTAATTGTTCTTAGACCTACACCAACTTCTTTATAGGCATGGGAATGTGAATTGGACTGGGAAGTAGATTTCACTGCTACAAGTTGTTTTTCAAGGGTAGAAAGACTTCAGCTCTTGCTTTAGGACTATTCTGTGCTTTTAATGGCAAAAAACATAGCCAACAGTATCTGCTTCCTCTGAAGCGACTAGAGTTCTTGATCCATCTTAGAGTGAAAGGAGACAGTAGTGCCAAGAATGAAAACTAAGTGTTTAACACCTTTCCTAAGGGATTTTTATTTGGCATCTGATCTGAATTATTAGAAGCAAGAAAGCCAGTCTTTGGTTACCTCCAGCCTGCTGTGCATTGGTGCCAGGAGCCATAATCCTAGGCTGTTTCTGAGCTGTGGCAAGGGGAAGTTAGTGTGGAGTTTCAGCAATTTGCAGACAGGTGTTTTGCCCATCTTGAAATCAAAGCACTTATTTTCTGGAAGCAGGCTTCATTAGAGGTATAGGAATATATCATACTCTTAGTTTCCCTGCTAGCTCCTGCTAGCAGGGAACTAGCAGGATGTAGCTATTTTGGACTATGAGCAGAAACTGATACAAAAACCTCCAAACTGCATGGAATACTCTTAGTCTCAACCTGGCAGCTAAGGAGGTCTTGTTCTTGAGTTTTAAATTATTCAAGAGCTGCTCTCTATATTAACATGCAGCAATTAGCAGTGTAATAGGAACAGAAAAACAGCACTAATGACCACAGTTGATTGTTAGCTATTAGGAAGGGAATTTATGTAAGCTGTGGTCTGTTTATAGGGGACTTGATATCTCTTAGTGGTTGAAGAGCATCTTCGACTCTATTTCAATTTTCACCTGAGCAGAATTCTGCACTTCAAGGTTGCTTTACACTGAACTGCATCATGCCCAGGAGTTCTACTTTAGAAGTGCACTTACAATCTGAAATGGACTCTATGTGTGGGGTTTTTTTGTTTGTTTGGTTGGGGTTTTTTAATGCTTTCATCTTATTTTCTTGTAACCTTGACTTCAGTCCCATTTCTTCCCTTTTGTAGCATTGGTAACTGATGTTTCTATTTACCATTACAACACCTTCACTGAGCAGTGCTTGCCTACAAACAACCAGCCAAAACAAAATGCATACCTCCTAAAGACATTTAGAGATTCTACAGCCAAAGAAATGCAAGCTGTGTTCTGCTGCTGAAAACACCTTTATGAGAGCGTGAAGTTTAAAGACAAGCCACATCTAAGGAACTCTGATTCTAAATACTAGTACGTTTTCTTTTCCTTCCATTCTACCATCCTATTCTACCTTTTTTTTTTTCTTCTTCATTCTCTACTCCCTGCTTTTTTGCTCAAGGAAGACTCAAGGCTTCAACAGCCTATGCAAAAGACTAGCCTTGATGTTCTTCTGCCTGGTAACTATGAGGTGATTACCAGTAGTAAAAGAAATCAATGATGAAAGAGTTTTCTTCCTCAGTAGTCTTAACCAGGAGGCTTCTGATTTTAATCCAAATCATAGAATGGTTTGAGTTGGAAGGGACCTTAAAGATCACCCAGTTCCAACCCCCCTGCCATCAGCAGGTCCACATTCCTCTAGAGCAGGTTGCTCAAAGCCTCATCCAGCCTGGCCTTAAACACTTCCAGGGAGGGGGCATCCACACCTTCTCTGGGCAACCTGTTCCAGTGTCTGACCACCCTCACAGTGAAGAACTTCTTCCTAATAAGAGCTGAGCAAATACAAGCTCATGGTAGAGTTCAAGCATGCCCTACATAGTTTTTCAAATGCAAAGTAGTGATGAGGAGAAGAAGAGAATATTTCATGCTAGGAAGCCAGGGATTTGCAGGTTATTTAGTTTTTATAGTTGAGTTTCCTAGCTACAGCATTAGAAAATTATTCTAGAACTGTCTTGAGAGCATTGATTGAAATAAGGACCTCATTAAAGCCAAATGATTAATTAAGAGTCAATATTTCCCCCTCAACACTTCCTCTCTGGATAAGAAACAAATGAGCTGAACCAGTAATTAAGTTGCAGGCACAGGGGTTATACTGTAGAGATGGAAAGAAAATGCATTTAACACACTGTATTTTGGTATACAAGTCTGAAATGATTTGGAGAGCCTAAATTAGGCAATCTAATTCCTGATGCAGTACATGTGAGAGCTGTTTCCCATTTTCTAATAAAAGGAAGTTATCAACATTCATATTAAATATCTGCCTTATGTGAATCCTTTTTAGTCATGGTATCGCTTGTTACTCAGCATGTAGACACATCTATACTGCAGCACAAATGGATCCATTCATAATGGACAGCTCTTAGATGATAGCTTTTTAAACCAGGTAGAGAAGACTGGATGTTATTTTTAGCTTCAGTCTCTGTATCATCAAAAAAAATATTGCATGGATCTGAATTTCATTGTACCTATAGCCATCCTTACCTTAAGTCTTTGTTCATTTGATATAACAGTGCTTCAAGCATGCTGTAGCTTTCTCTAGTTCTCAAACAACATCCTGAAATAATTTTTGCACTATTTCAATGCAAGCATACCTAAAGCACTCCTGTTTTTCCTTTAGATCTATATTCTGGAAGAAGTTCCTATGGCAGAAGTGCCACCAAAGAGATTAGTTTCAGACCAATTTACACTTGAATTTCTGTGCTTGGTTTATTATTCAGACAGTGACATCCAATTCAGTCTTTGTAACAGCTACTAGCAGATGACAGAGGCATGAAAAATCTAAAGCACTGTAGTTTGCCACTGTGAGAAGAGCAAACCAAGTTCTGAGGTTGAGGTGTTTCCTCTTCCAAAAGAGAAAGCATCTCTACTGTATTAGAAAGTGACCTGTACAAAGTTACTACTTTCTAAGATGTAGCATAGAAAAGCAGGCATTCTCTACTCACTCCACAAAGATCTCTTTAAGCTGAATGAAGCACTGTGATTGGTATCTGAACACTGCTAGTTGAAGGGCCCACCACAGAGTGCTGGGCTTCAACATCCAAATGGATCTACATAGGGAAGTTTCACTTGTTGGTAGAATGAACAAAGTACTTCCTGGGCACTGCAGCAGGTGGCATCACAGCATTCAGGCTCAGGTTTACACAGATCTCAGTGGCACTAGACTTAGTCTCCCCAACTGAATTGCTCATCAGAACCTGGAACCTGTTTAAGTATACATTTCTTTGGTTCCTCCCCAATCTCACCTGGGGGAAAAGATTAAGCCATCAGTTGACTTTTAAGTCACATTCCTTTAAGGAAGCATGAGAAAGATGAGCAGTGTGGTTCTGTGCATTTTTAGAGTCTTAGAAGCCTTTATAGCCTTAGGTTATGACAAACACATTAAGTGACAGAACAGTTAACTGAAAATGTCAAGGTCTTTGGGCCTAGACTAGAAACAGAATTTGGTTTAGGCTCTGAAACAGAAGGCAGTTGTTTTTACTAGTCAAAGCTAAGAGGGGCCTCATAGCAAGGGGTGGGTCTTTCCTGACCAACAAGCCTACCAGTTGCTTTCCTTTTGGGCTATCAGACCAAAAGCATTAAATACAGAGAGGAACATCCACTGGCTGTGAGAATCTGGCACAGCTGAGGAGAATGTTACAGAAGATACATGTTACAGTAGTCTAGCAGATTACTATAGAGACAAGGAGGAGCTGTCAGCAGAGACAGCATGCACTGATTGAAGACATGTTGCTAAAGATAGAGACTACTCATAGTGCCTGAATAGCTTTCTAAAGAAACAGCATTAGCCTTAGAAAATGGTATTTGATGCCTTATTTCATGTGATAGGCTGAGCTAGAAGAATTAATTTATGCTGAAGACTTTTGGCACATATTACCTTACTACAAGAAAAGGAAAATTATAGTAGAGGAGCCATATCTGGTCTTGCACTATCTGATTGCCTCATGGCTTGAGCTATGGCTGAGCAGTGACAGCATAGGAAACAAGTGAGCTTTCTGCAGCAGTTGTGTTCGAGCTGCAGCTGTCCATAACCAAGCAGGAGTAAAACTTTCAGCGGACAGGCTGGTTGTAGCAGAGAAACAAGTCACTCACACAAACTTTGGTTTGATTGTACAGTTAGAATTTATTGCATCCTATATCCTTGGGAATGACAGCTAAAGTTTTCCACTGATAAGGCTCAAATTCATAAGTTTAGAGGCTTCATAACTGCCACTGCATTTGAGAACGTGCAAAAACTGATCCAGTGCCTCTCACACTAGAGTATAAACTATGCTTTAAACACATGCACTTTGTAAACCAGTTGATGCCAGACTACTCATTTTCATTAAAAACAACCTATATTGTGGTTCAGGGCTAGGAATAGGAAATTCACTTCTGTATTTGCTGAACAGATGTTAATCTCCAATCCATATCGTGACAGCTTGAATTGAGACAGGTTATAGCATCCTGAGTAGAAACCAAAATGTTATTTTCCTGCACTTGGTTTCTGAACTATCTCCCCTCACCTCCCCCAAAACATGTAACTGCATGAAAGAGTTCAGGCCGAGTGCAGATCAATCCACAAAAGGTAGCAATGGAGTTCATAGTTGGAGCAGGAAAACAGGATTTGCTTTTGACAGCAAGAAGTGCGTGTAGCTGCCTTGTAAAGGCTGAGGCTCTTGAATGTTTTTGTGCTTCATTCACATTCCAAGGAAAATGAAAGTTCTAGCTTTGCCTAGACAGCTGATGCTTAGTCCTGCAAGATGTGAACACTGTCAGTTGTCAGTTATATTATAGCCATCTTCATCTGAAAGTAATTTTTCCCAGGATACCAGAAACAATACATTTAAGTTGTCCTTGCTCCCCTTCATTCATGCACGTGTTCTCCATAGGTCCCATAGTGTCACAGATTTGTCTGGATGCTCCATGCAGTTTAGTTTGAATTAGCCACTTATTCTTGCACACTTGAATAGAGGGCCTCAATCTGCTTCTGGAAGAGTTTAACAAGCTCTGCTCGCTTTGCCTTCAGTGTTGGTGTCAAGAGTCCATTTTCTACAGAGAACATCTCTGTGTGGATGTAGAGGTCTTTAACCTATTAAAAGAAAATAATTTAGCACTTACATAATTGCTTAGAGGACAAACAACAGTTCTTCCCAGCTTCCTTGAGCTCAGCACAAGAATTTACTTAGTCTCAGGAGATCAGTAACTAAACTATTTTCCAGTGCAAGTCAAACTCTTTGGCTGACACAGCAAGAGGACAGGCTAGAACTACAGTACAGCTCCTGCAGCTTATGGTGAACCTCCACTCCATCTCATGGCAATTGCTACTGTTGCCCTGTACAGCCACCTGTCTCTTGGTCAGGTGACAGGCAGCCAGTCAATGTTTTACTGGCTACTTCAATCAGTTATCTGGGGCAGTTGTCTTAGGTCCCATCCTGGCACAGTCAGTAACAGGTATGCAGACTTCCCAGCCATTGCATTAGCAATGCAGGTGCTTGTGACAAGCAGGATTTGGAAGTACTCACTTGTTCAAAGGATTTAAGGCCAGCTTCTTTCCCCAATCTGACCATATCTTCTAGAATAGCTTTCTTCACTGCCTGGAAGAAACCAAGCAGCAAAAGAGCAGGTAAAATTGTGATTTTTTTTTTAATTGCAACTCAAGACCATATCCATTGTTCAGTCAGTGAAAATTGAGGTTGGCAAGAATACATGTACATATTTCAGCATTGAAGATTTCTTATCTTAAGGCCACTACAAGATCATGTCTATCTTCTCATTGGAGAAAAAGCAGTGATAGCCCTTGAAACATCAAGAGACACCTATACTTAGTTCCAGATTTTACTGTAAAGCTGCTTGCATGACTCACCCAGCATTAAGCCAGTTTAATTTTTTAAAAAAGTGGGTAAAATGAAGGCCAAGCAATGCAAGATTTTACTTTGGAATTAAATTCTATCTATAATCCACTAAAACTGTAAAGCCACTCACTGGATTTTTGCAGACATTTTCATAGGAACCTTTTATTCCCAGTTTTGCTGCAAATTCTGGAAGCGTCTCAGGATCAGGAACCACTATACCTATTAGAAAAGACTGAAAACAAGTGGAAGTAGTCATGTTGAGAGCAAGATAAGACATCTGAAATTACTTTAATTGTCTGTGTGAACTTGATTGTGGACAGTGTCTCTATAAGAAGCCACATCCACATCCATTTCCATAGTTTGGAAGATGGCTACAAGGGCTTTCCAGTCACTTATCTGGGTTCTGAGAGCTGTAATTGAAGTACTAATGCAGTTGTGTGCTGAATGCTACAGCAATTACTTTTGGCTGGTTTACAGGTTGAAGACTGGCCTCTGTTAGCACAGGTGACTCCTCTGTGACAAAGTAGTGGAGAAACTGTACAGAGCTGACCTGACATACTAATCCCATACAAGTATGTAATTAGCCTTTACCCAGCTTGCAACTTGATGATGCCAAGACCTCCTTTTGTTTTCTGTCATTTGGGAAGGCTGTAGGACTAGAAGGATATTCCTATAAACATGTCACTCAGCAGTAAAACTTGTTCATATACTCTGTATATACATATATTTGTGCCCAATGTTCCAGAACTCATTGTGGGAGGAATCTTGCAGGATGCTGACAGGTAACATTACTTACCCTCAGGCTTTCCCCATGTACGAAGACCTGGGCTACAGGAGCACTTCTGATATAGACATTTTCTATCTTCTCTGGAGCAATGTATTCTCCTTGTGCAAGTTTAAATATATTCTTCTTCCTATCAATGATCTTCAATGTTCCATTCTAGAGTTTAAAGACAGAGGCCATTGGTTTCAACTATCTGTCTTGCTTCTATAAGAAGCAGAAGACAACAGGTTTGGTTTTGTTGTATAAAAGGCACATACTAGATGGGAACTGGTCTTTGCTCTCTACAGAGAGAGGAGGCACTTTGTCTAATTTCTCCAGTTAGCTCAGAACATGATTAGACAGCTTCTTCATTCTCCTCTGACAGAAACCAAGACATTCTTCATTGTGAAAGTGACAGTCTTAACTACTGGCCCAGAAGGTGTTATTTGAGGTCTTGCAACCCAACTGGTCTTTGGAGTTCTGCCAGAGTTACTCAGTGAATAACAACAAAATATCAGGTAAGGCTTTTATTCTAGAATTCACTTCTCCAGCTTTTCAGATTACTGTAAACTAGCCAGGAATTCACATCCAAAGGATGGTTTGTATTAGGCAGTTACTCACTGGCAACCATTTCCCTATGTCTCCAGTGTGGAGCCAGCCATCTTTATCAATTGCTTCTGCAGTCTTCTCAGGGTCTTTCAGATAACCCTTGAACACATTTGGTCCTTTAATGCAGACCTACAGCAAACACAGAACATTGTGAGTCACCAGTTCTTATGTTTCAGAATTTCTTGATACACTTAGGAGATTGTACCTACCTCGCCTTCATTGTTAGAAGAGAAGTAGTTCATTTCTTCCACATCTTCCAGTTTTATGATATTACAAGCCAAAGGAGCTCCAACATGGCCTAAGAGGAAAAAACAAAGACAGTTATGTTTTGGGAATTCTGCTAGCAGGTGGCCCTATTTGACCTAAAGCTAGAAAGTCTAGGTCTTGAAGTGAGATGGGAGAACTCGGATGCCTCCTACATATGAGACTTCAGTGACGATAGATACTTAGTGGCTCTTTGTTACTCCTTTAGAAAGAACCAGTAGTGTTTAAAGGAGTCTGATGCTGTATGTTCAAGAAAGTTATTGTAATGCCATTTTTAGACAGTTAATGCAGGATAATTAGCAGTTAAGTCTCAGTGCTTAGAGCCATTTATTGGTGTAATCAACCACACCAGCCATGTACCACACGTGCCTCAACAGAATTCCCTCAGACTCTAGTGTTTATTTGCATTTCATCCTCATTATGCTCTGCAGTTATTGTGTTTTCAAAGATGGTGACTTGAGCTTGAATTTAGAATAACCAATATTAAAAAACATCCTTGCTAAGATGAAAGCTAGATCTTCAAAGTCAGATAGTACTTCAGGAAAATAGTCAAGTATCATGTCTGATATTTTAGTCATAATTCTTTGAGTTAAACAAGTTATTTGGGAGCTAAAGCTAGTGTCTTAAAGACATTTGGAAAGTCCTTGTCCAGTTTGCTCAGCTCTGTACAGACACTCCTTTCCTGTACACTGGGACGGGGTCTAGGCTGACCTACAGTCACTTTACACAAGAGATCCTCACCTATGTGAGTCAAGAATTTTGGTACCTATTAAGCACACAGGTGACTTGCTACCAAAAAAAATCACTTTGAGGTTAAGTACTTAGGATTTAACTTCCATTGAACTAAAAGCAATAGAGCACCTAAGCTTGAGTGCCACTTTCAACTGTGAGAGAGTTTCCAAGTCTCAGCTACCATACCTGTTGTCCAATCTCCAGGCATTGAGAAAGTGCACCCAGCTGAGCATTCAGTCTGGCCATAAGCTTCAAAGATCTACATGAAAAAGGATGAATATTCTTTGAACATCAAGTCTTTGGTGCAAAAAAGCTAAGTTTCAACCATGCCTATGCTCAAGTCTCCTTCTTAGAAAGGCAGCCAAGACAATCTTAGCCTTTAAGACTTCTTGGTCTTATTGGTGTGACCAGATGTTCAAGTTCACCTACTCAAACCTTGCTTTGGTAACCTCACTCTCTGAACTCTCTTTTCAGATGTACTACATTGGGAGTTCATTGACTGTCAGGATAAGCCACAAAGCTCAGTGACTTTGAATCACAGAATGTTATGGATTGGAAGGGACTTCAAGAGATCATCTAGTCCAACCCTCCTGCCAGAGCAGGGTCACCTACAGCAGGTCACACAGGAATGTGTCCAGGCAGGTTCTGAATGTCTCCAGAGGAGGAGACTCCACAGCCTCTCTGGGCAGCCTGTTCCAGTGCTCTGTCACTCTCACAGTGAAAATGTTTTTCCTTATGTTTACATTGAGCCTCCTATGCTCCAGCTTGCACCCATTGCCCCTTGTCTTACCATTGGACATCAACGGTAGGACATCAACATCATCGAGTACTGTATGTTCCTATTTCTGCTGCTCTATTGCTTTTCCCAGAGCCTATAGGATGGCTTTTCATAGTGCAGTTTGAAGTCAGCCCTGCAGAATTTTGTTCCTGTTATAGTTAACTCAGATCAAGCAGTCTGTAAATACTGAAGACTCTGACAGCAATCTCCCCAGAAACAAGCTGGGCTGGACCACAGCTCTATCACTGGTCACTTATTTGGGCATAATCAAACAGGTCTTAATTTAAAGAAAAAACTCAGCTTACCTGACAGCCCAATGCTGCTCTAAGAAATGTCAGGACAGAGGGAGATATAGGGGCTGCACCTGTTACCATTATACGCACTCTTCCACCCATGGTTTCCTACAAGTGAAATAGAAGCCATCAGATCCTTCAATATTACACTGCTCAGTTTACTTACACTTGGAATAACTTACCTGAACTTTTTTGAAGATTAGCTGATCCCAAATGCTGTCATTTCTAATTATGCCCTGTTTTATTTCAGCCATCTTCATAATCACAGCAAAGTTTAACAGGCAACGTTTCACTGGGCTCTTTGCAGCACTTTGTATCTGCAAGGAAAAAGTATCAGTGATCAGTGACTCTTGGTTGTAACTCATGTATGTATCTCCAGTTCTTACTTTGTTAGTAGCCACTTTCTTATTTGATGTTCTAGAGTGTTTCTTCACTATTGCCATGGTCTAGGAGATGAACCAAGGAGCAATACTAATTTGTGTTACTGCTGAGATACTTCAGCCATAGCTTTGAGGGATAGGGACCCCTCTAGCTTTGCACTTGCTCTATTTGCATTCCAGTGATAAACAAACTTTTTTGTCAGCAGTAATCTTAGCCCAGTCATTACTAGATATACTGTTCTTCTACTCTAGGTCTCAGGGCTCTTTCCAACTCCTCTGAAAGTATTTTGAAGAATTCTTCCTACTAAGGAGTAATTAACTAGTGATGATGTTATTGTGCATTCAATATTAAATTAAACTTGTATGCTTGCTTAGGTATATGAACATGAAGATAATTTCACTGAAATTGGTCACATACCTTGTCATATATTCTATTGAGCAGTCTTGGTACAACTGGAAATAGCGTTGGCTTCAAGTTTTTCATGTCATCTGTTAGAAGCTTAATGTCTCCTTGGAAGAATCCTACTTTTGCTCCACAGCTGTAGACCACAGTCTAAAAATTGACCAAAATAAGCTTACTCAAGGATAAGTCCTAGCTTCATTAGCTATAATTATTTGTCTGTGGAAAGCAGCATGATTTCCAGTGCCCAGTGGTAGGAAAGTTCTTGTGTGAATAGGTTTTGAGGAAATACAGAAAGCTATCACACTATAATTTGATTTACAGAAGCTCAGATGCATAAAATAAGTTCTACCGTGCGACTTTGATTTGTAGTCACCACAGAAACAAAGTTTCACATTATGGTTGAATACATTGAATTTACAACAGCTTGACAAGGAATAGGACAAGACACATTCTGTTTTAAATACTGGGTTGGGAACTGAGGTTAAGAGACTGCCCCAAGACCGTTACATGTAGAAGAATTAGATCCTGACACAAAGGTGATAATATTCCCTGTAGGAAGTGTGGCTTAATGCAACATGCTGGGGGAAGTACATTAATTGGAAGACTAGAACCTCAGTTTAGGAAACAGATAGGCAGGATGACAAAGCCCAGCAGAGTAAACAGTGGAGAACTTACTGCTGTTTACCTTGAGTACTAAATCCACTGGTCTTAAACTGCTTCCTCTTTATGTGTTAGCTTTGACTGTGTTTGACTAAGGGCTTAATACTGTTAGTTTCCCTCACTGATTTCTTAATAAATCACAGACTCAGTAAGGCTGGACTGAAGAACAAAGCTTTATTTAATGAGGATAGCAGCCACATCTTGAAGTAGTAACTAGGCATAATTTAGTCAGTTCAGACATTTTAATTCAGGCAGGTGGTCCTAACTATTTAGGTATGATTTCTAGCAAGTGTTACTGTCTGAACTAGTTCATACATTCAGGATCTTCTACAGAAGCTTAGTAGCATGCACAGTCTACTTACCTGTACAACTCTCTCAAACATGTGAGCCAAGGGAAGATAGGACATGGTGATATCTGAACTTGTCAACTCAACTGTGTTCTAGAGGGGAAAGAAATAGAAGTAGGTTGGCAGTCCCTATACCTGCTTGAGTTACCCTGAAGTAGAAAGTGAATAGAATTTGCATCAGTTGGAGTACTTTGAAATAGACACTTCAGATAACTGAAGCAACTCAGGCTCATCCATCTCCTCTTCAAAATTTGAAACTCTAACTCAGACATACTAGATCAAGATTATTTTCATGTTTGGTAAGACTTGAAATAAGGTAGTTTAGTACTCTTGGCATTTAGGACTGACTCATTCTAGAATAACTTCTGAATAGTTCATAATTAGCAGTAACTTACCTCTGTGCTTCTAAGGAAGGCAGCAGCATTTGCAACAACATTTTCATGTGTCAGCATGGCTCCCTTAGGGTTACCTTTGGAGAGATCAAGCAAAGTCAGCTGTGGCTTTGACTGCTCCTGCATATTAGGCTTAGTCATAACATGTATTGTCTTAAGAGATCACCAATATGCCTCCTTTTGAGCACTTTCAGCTATGGATATTATATAAAGGAAATGTTTACTGAAACAGCAGAGTAATTAAAAGTAGCATAGAGAATGCTGAAACAAGATGTTTCTCTAGCCCCTGTGGATCAGAATATAAACACAGTTAAAAAACCAATCTCTTTAACATTAAGACCTTGTATTTTTATAGGGTAAGACACATTAATTTGGCTATTCTTCCCCCCATCTCTAAGAAGCTTTGTCTTAGTACCTTTGACTTGCAATGACAATGTCCCAAGTAAAACTGCAATAGTGGCATGACACTGTTCTAACTTACTGGTTTAATTCTATGTTGTTAGAGTTTCCTTTTTTTGTGCTGGAAAGCTACTTTTTTCAGCACAGGGAGACTGTTTTAGTGGGGAAGCATCACTATAGTCTCTTACCTGTGGTTCCACTGGTAAAACATATGATGCAAAGATCTTCAGGCTTAGGAGGCTAGAGGGGAAAAGCCACATAAGGTCAACAGAGTAAGGATTATGTTGCTTCTCAGTATTTATATGCAGTTCCTGAAGGGGGATGACCCAGGAACTGTTTGTAAACAGCAAGACAAGACACAAAAATAATCCTGCCAGCATCCTCTACTAGCAGCATGGCAAGAGGTCTTTCCAGAGATTAGTTTTGCAAGTTTATAACTGTTCCAGAGATACTTACAACTGGTTCTCTGATGTTGTTTCTTCCCAGCTCCTGCGTTAGAGAGAAAACACAGCTTAACAATTGCAACTGAAAGACGTGCAACAACAGTAGATAAATAGGTAATTGTATTTCAAATGCAAAACTTGTTTTTACTTTGCCTCTTGATACTCTCTCTCATGCAGAGAGAGCTACTGGTCTTCCTGAATTTAGTACACACAGCTTGGAAAAGGTGACTTCTAGGGTTGTGGAAAGCATGAATTTGACTGTATAGAAAGTGTTCAGAACTATTTAAAGAATTTGGAAGTCCTGAGTGGAGATACTTCATTTTATTTGATGCAGGCCCCATCTCTTGTACTTTACATTTATGCATCATATCTGGAAGATTAAGCCTAGTATTTGGATGTCAAAGCAGCCAGTAATTTGCACTTATAGTTTCAATTAGACTCAACTGCCAGTTTAGAAGCCTGATAAAACCTGTTACAACTGCACCATGAATCAAGCTAAGGAAGTCTTCAGTTTAATGCATACTGACTGCCACAACACATGGACACAATTTTAGTCAATGGTTTGAACCCTGCAAGTCCATTTTGCATACTATATCAAGTTTCAAAATGTCTGCTTATGAAGATCTTGGGTACAGGTGTGACAACTGGATAATGTTTACATTAAATTGTCATTGTTGCTAGAGAGGGTCCAGATGTCTAGTTGGCAAGGTATTCCTCTGCAAGATCAAGCAGAAGCCTTTAGTAACCTACCTCAACCTCCTGCAGCGCTAGAATTTCAACTCCCACTTTAGCTCCTCTGTCCTTGAGCTCTTTGTCAAAGAGATCCATGACAATGATAGTCTTCAGACATGGGGTCTTTTCTTGCTCACAGTTCTCGAGCAAGGTCTGTGCCTTCTCAGGCTTGTCACAGATCACTATGCTTATGTCAGCTACAGAAAAGAAATTACATTTCAGAAGTCTGTTTAGAAGGCATGAGGCTAGCAACAGCTCAGTAGCATATACATTTAAAACATAGCATTGGTTTGTTCTAAAGCTATTTGCATTTGTTCATATGGATTCAGTGGCTGACTTACAGTACTAAGAAGGCTCCTCCTAACACAGCCAACTGATTGAGCAAACTTGAGATTCTAGCTACACAAAGTGAGGGCAAACACTGAGGAACTGAAAACAGATCTCTTCAGTCACAGTCAAGGTAGGCATTTAAAGTTTTGGTATTGCCATAAAAGCTCAGAGTTGTCCTTACTGATTGTCTAGGTTTAGCCATCTTCCTTAAATCTAAAGAAATTTAGGTCTGTTGAAAGAGTTAGCTAAAATTCTTGAGTTAATGCCTCAGCTTCCTTGCGTGTGCAAGAGTTTATGTGATTACAAAAGCATTTCCCATTAAGTTGCAGAGGAATTGGATTTGCCTGAACATGCTGGTTCCCCATTAGCCTAGTAAGTCATATCTGTATAGTTCTAAGGCAAGACCTGTTTGTAAGGTTCACCAGCACAGCTGTTGAAGTTGCTTGGCAAATCCTCTTTATGGGTTGGATCCCAGATTGTTGTCACAGCAGTGGATATTTTTCCCCCCATATCTATTACCCCCTGAGACTGGGGGAACAAAATTTGAAGATTTATCCAAGCTTCCTCACCAGTTTCTTCAATGACGGCATGCTAGTTGTTGCTTCTGTAGAACAACAGGCTCTGACCAGATAGATTGAACAGATTTAGGCATATCTTTACCCCTCCCTTCCTCCTCCACTCTTTACATCCTACAGCTTTAAATCAGACACACACATCTGGTCTTAATTTGCATACAAGTCTGTCTGCATTTTCTGGTTGTTTAGCAGTGTGCGAGTTCAAGATTGCAAAACCTCAAATAGCAAGTAGTTGAGTACTCTCATTGCAGGATGGTCCACAGGATCTAGCAGGTCTTCAGTGGACTTGCACCCAAGACACTAGGGGACATGGGAAGCCCACTGGCTTCTTCTAGGCATTGAACTATGTTCCCTGCAAAGCAGCTTCCTTTACAGAAATCGCCTATAAAAGTATAACAGCAGTAAGGTTAAAGCTGCTCTGATTTTTGCATAAAATTCCCTTGAACTTCAGCCTTCTCAAAACAAAGGTTCTCAGAGACATGATTATGAAACAGTGGAAGTCAATATTTACCTTTTTTAACAATATATATGATGGCATCTGGCCCCAGAGTGTCATAGAGTGGAACAGCAACCATTGAGTAAGTGTAGCAGGCATACTCTGAAATGACCCACTGAAGGAAGAAGACAGTACAGCTAAGGAAAACTAGCAGCTTACAAGACAGAATTACCTAAAGGTTTCTTACAGCTTGACTAGCCCATGAACACACCACTAGCGGGGGTTGTGTAAGGAGTCTTCCATGAGATTCTTAGAGTAATAAGGGTTCAAGATCACTGTGTCACCTGCCTGGCATAGTATGTGCTCAGTCCGTAATAGGGGAACTAGGAAGGGAAAAGCCAGTTGTGATTGTTCCTCATGTGGCATCAAGCTGTTTAAATAGAGATCCTCCTTTCTCCCCAAGGTGTAACAATATTCTGTGAAAGCATATTCAGTTTGTTGCTTACCTCTGGTCTATTCTGAGCAAAAATGCCAATAAACTGGTTTGATGATGGTTTGCATCCTTTCTGCAGAAGCCCTGATCCCAGGTATTGAGCTCTGTCCAAAACCTGTAAGATAGTTTTCCCCTCACTTTAGTTTTACAAGACAGTACCTCAAATTAAAATGACCTGTCATGTACAATACTCACCTGTTTATATGTCAGCCACTGATAAGGTTGGTTGGGTTTTCGGTAGCCTAAACAGTTGCCATTTCCTAATGAAAGGGTTTGGAAAAAATCCGCTGTAAAGCTCAGTACTGAAGCTGCATAGCACTTTAATGCAAAACTTGTAAGTGAGAAATATTTTCAGTTAGACAACAAGCTAACTGCACGGAGCATGGAAGTGCAGTGTCCATAGTTAAGCACTCTGCCCAAACCCAGGCTGTAAGACTGTTGGCTTTATCCTCACAAGCAATACTTCCAAAATCTGGTGATATTTTCCCATTTCACAACCCATGCGAGATTGAAATAGCTTGCAAGCTATCACATATTTCCATACATGGGACCTCTGAAGTCATAAGAGGGCAAATTCATACCCATTGTAAGGAGGCAATAATTTGACACTAAAACCCATGTCGTAAGACAAAGCAGAGGTGGTTCCCTCCCAACTCCCTCTGATGCTTAGTATCTGCTGACTCTTCACTGAACTCCTATCTTAAGCTTCTGATGTTTGTTGCTGCCCAGCCTGCCAACTAAGACTACTTCTAAATCAGTGAGGGGGGAGGAGGGGGGAATATTATGGTCACTTATCACTCCACCCCACAGAAAGCTAGGAAAGCTTTTGCTAGCCTGAATTATTACTATAGACAAGAGGCAAGGCAAAAGAGATTGGAATAATTTTATTTACTTGTGATAGACAAGTACTAACTAACAGATGCAAAGCTTACCAGAAGCATGCAGTCCTCTCTGGAAAACTTCATACAAGGTTTTACCATCTTCAAAGTAATAAGAAAGTAGGTTGTTATCTGTCAAGAGTGCACCTCTTCTGGCTCCTCCCTGGAAACAGAGCATAGTTAGGCAACAGTGCAGAACAGATGCGATGTCATTTGTTCCTCAGCTGTTCTCCCAGCAATTCCCTTTAAATCATTTCAATAGCATTGCATTGTTAGGGAAGTCTCATTTTCCTTCCCAATTTTGATCTACTCAGTCATCAGTCACATGCAGGCAAATTTTCTAGATGGCCTATATTAATATTCAATTACAGATTATTAGAGAGGTCTTGACTAAGATTGAGTGCTACCACTTGCATAGTTACTTGAAGTCTAGCACCAGCCTCAAAGTTTATGCAAAGCATTTAAAATACAGAAAAAACTTGGTGACAGCCAAGGCCATCTGGTAAAAAGCCCACCTAACCCTGTTGGCAAGAGCTGCTGTTTCTTACTCTTGGTGTCTTAAGACTTCCCTTCTCCCCACCATATTTTTGAGTTGTACACATGGGAGAGAAGGCTGTGTCTATCAGACAGGAGAATTCCCACTGATACCCAGAATCAGAATGGATCAGTATTCAGATTAAGTTTCTCAAAAACAGTCCATGCCCACAAGCAGAGTAAGTATTACCTCAATTCCTATTGACTGCTTGTTCAAGTCAACAGGAGGAAAAACAGGTTTTGGCCTGCTTATCACCCACAGGAAGATGCCAGCTCCAAATACAATAAGACTAATCAATGCTGGTGTTGGGAGCGGGGAGAACAAGACTTGAAGTATCCAGATCATTGTGCCAGATCAGTGGAGCCAGAGTTGAACCTGGAACAAACAGGAGGTTTAGTAGACTTGAGTTAGAAGCACTCACTGCCTGTGAGCCATAGTTACTTAAGTAGTTTGTTAAGCAATACTACAAATCTTTTCAGTAGTTTGTCCCTAAGGAGTCCTGGTACAATACTGAAGCATGCTTATGCAATGCTTTAAGCCTCTTAAGAGATCTCAAGTCACCTGTCCCCATAAATCTTCATCCATTCTACATCCACCTCCACAAAAAGCTGAAGCCTGATAAAGTCAGACAAGGAACAGATGTCAGTTCTTTCTATTCAAGAGTAAAAATCTGCCTATTGGTAGATTTTTGCCTATTTCTACCTATATTGGTAAAAAATACAAATTAAATACAAATTAAATCTAATTTTTAAAAGCCTACGATTCAGTGACGTGAACAGTAGAGGAAAGAAAATCCCATATTATACCTGTCCAGTAGGATGGGGTATTGCTAAAATAGTAGATATATTGCTAAAATATACATAGGTGTAACAAGCACGTAAAAGTCTGCAGGACAAGCAATGCCTTAATGATCAGCTGCTCTTACTGGAAAGCAGGGTTTATACTGGAGAAATATTTCAGATAGTGACAGTGTGTCCAGCATGAGATAGCATGCTATAACAGCCTTCCAGTACCTGAAGGGGCTACAGGAAGGCTGGGGAGGGGCTTTCTACAAGGGCAGGGAGAGACCGAACAAGGGGTAATGGCTTTAAACTGGAAGAGGACAGATTTAGATTAGATACTGGGAAGAAATTCTGTACTGTGAGGGTGGTCAGACACTGGAACAGGTTGCCCAGAGAAGTTGTGGATGCTTCTCCCTGGAAGTGTTCAAGGCCAGGTTGGATGAGGCTTTGACCAACCTGGTCTAGCGGGAGGTGTCATGGTTCCATGTCTAGTTCCAACCCCCCTGCTTATGGCAGGGGGGTTGGAACTAGATGATCTTTAAGGTCCCTTCCAACCCAAACCATTCTGTGATTCTATACAGCACAAGTCAAAACTGTGAAAGTTACTTTCCACTAGGAAGTGGTGACCCAGAAGTCAATGCATGCAATGGAAGTCTAGCTGGGAAATATAGAAGCAGTTCTACTCCTTGCATCCTCCAGAGTCTCTTCCTTCAAGGGCATGGAAGCAAAAACTGAGAATGCAGTATTTGTTGTAAGAGATAAAGAGACATCTACCTCAGCCTCCTCTCTTAGAAACAAGTACTTTAATCTCTAAAATGTTCTGGTATAAGATTGGACGGCCAAGACAAATCTAGTAAAGGTGACTGTTTTTTGTCTGAATCAACTGAGATCTCACCAGCTTATCTAAATAGGTGTGCAGGACATGGCACATCACACTTTGTAAGATTAATAACCACACCCTTTCAAATTCTTTCATACAGAATCAAGGGAACTTGGTCAGTAGATAATATGTCAGTTAGCAGCTAACTAAATCCCTGTAGAAGAAAAACTACAGGCATTCTGGAGCAATGGACTCCAGTCACCTTTTAACTATAATTCCAAGAAAGTTGAAGGTATTTTCCAAACAGTTAGTAAATTCAGCCAGGCCCCTAAATCAGAATTTTGGTCTCTTAAGTCCAGACTGACCAGAGTTAGATACCTGTATCTGGTTTATGGTTTCATAGTTTTCAGTTTCTGGTGACTGCATTAATCAGCAATCCTAATGTGTTCTCTGGTGTGAGAACATGCTTTGCCTGCTCAGCATTTGGGTAAGAAAAGGTACCTCAGAGACTTGTCATCCTGACCAATCTGACAAAAGCATGTCACCCACATTATCTTAAAAGTACCAACTCCCTAGACCTCTTTTCTACTCTAAGCCTTAGTTACAATGTCCCCTTCAAACTGTTGATCTTGGTTTCATCTATGGAGAGTCTAAGAGTTGTGCTACAGCAAGAAAGGCAGGAACTGCTCCTGGCACTCTGTGCTGACTGACAGTTCCAGTCACTGGGCACATCAGATCTAGGAGGCACAAACCTGCTCTTTCTGCAGCACAGAATATCACCCATCTCCATACCCTTCCTTTGGGCCTGTATCAACTGAGCCTGGAGAAAAAAAAAAAAAAAAAAAAAATCACCTAAAACCAGGTCTGCTAATCAAGTTTACATTCAGAACAAAGCCACTTAACAGTTTAGGTTCTAGCACTGCTCTGTTTGGAAGACTGAATGTTATTGATAAAGTGAATTTGGCAATCAGCTGCTCTTCATGATTTATACATTTGGCCTTGTAACCCATTACTGGAGCAGTTAGTAAACAGCTTTCTGTAAGTGATTAAACAGTATCTGGTTTATGGCAAGTCAGCCACTTTTAACTTGAACAAGTCACTTTTTTGTAGCATAGCACTGAGTCAGCTTGGTAGAGGCATCTCCACTCTCCAACATGAATTTGGATATACAAACTTTATTACTTTAACTCAGAGCCCACTACTAGATCCGAATGACGTTTGGACCATTTGTATGCTGGAAGCTCAGCTTGTTAGAAGATGGCAAAACTAGACCCTTGCACATCTATTCTTATATCTTTTTAGAGGGATACCAGAGTACTTATGTCCAATTCACCTGAATTTTAATAGCAATCAGCTTGGGCTATTTTCCAGTCTTTTTCCATCCCCAGATGGGACAAAAGGAGTTTGTACACAGTACATTTCAAATAATTCTTCCCTGGACATGAAACTTTTCAACCAGCAGTAAGAAATAGAGTTACATGCAGACAACCAAAGAGACCACATCCCTGCATAGCTGTACCAGTTTTAATGGCTGAAATGTGCTCTCCTGTGCTCATTTTAATAGTAATTTTAAGACAGTTTTCTAGAAAGCAGAAAAAATTGGTTGCCTTTGGAGTATCATGATAGAGATCCTCTACTATAACTTAGTAACACCGATTAGCATTAGCACTGTCTAATCAGACAGATCAGTACAGTTGTCACAAATAGCTCCTGTCTGTTACATGGACTTATTTGACAGAAAAGTAATAAAGGACACTTGTCTGACCCACTAACCCCAGATGCTCCGTGCAGCAGTAGATAAGTCACTGAAAATCCTTCCATCATGGTATTTTTGTCTCCTCGCTGACTCACACACAAGGCATTTTGGGCCAAGACATCTAGGAAGACTGAACGTCAGGCCCTGAGGGATAACGATGCTTGGAGCAGAGAAATCACTGAAGTCCAGCAAGAACACCTGATCAAGTGTGATAAAAGCCTGAAGGTGATTAAATGCAGCAAAACTTTTGCCTTCAGGTTCTGACCCAATTCCACATAGAGAAAAAGAGAAACAAGAAAGTAATCTAATCCCACTGTAACCTAACCAGCAACCCTGTATCTAGTCAAGGATGATTTTCCATTGTAAGCCAAATGGACTTTTAATTTAAAGAAAGACCTGATAACAAGTTTATCTGTAAAGCCTGGGTTGTATTGTATGCTCATCTGCTTCTAAATTATTTTTTTTTTTTTTTAGTAACTGTCTTCACTTGCCCACTTACAGCACTGAATGAGACTACACATGCAAGAGTCAAAAGCCTAACAACCATTAAAGCCACAGAAGTTAGAGTTGTGTCAAAAAAGCACAAATACTTAGACCTTGTTTGCAATACACACACACAAAAAAAATGCTTTTCATATCTGAAAGGTTATTTTCAATTCCCCTACTTTATGAATAGTGACAGTGCTTTGCTTTCACTCTCCAACCATGCTTCCTCAGATGGGCTTTAGCCACTCCTATCAAAGTACATAGGGTGTGTTATTCAGGCTGTGGCAAGAGACTGTCAGCAAATTTGTCTCAATTCCCAGCACCAGGACAGTTGTTTCCTATGCCTAGAGCTTCTACTGTAACTGCTTGTCAAATCCCAATTCACTTCTAGTTAATCCCCTCTGGTATCCTCCAAAAGCCACTTAATCCTGTTCCCTTCAGTGCAGAAGTGCCAGCAGAGAGGATAGGAATGTTTAATTGACAGAGTTCTCTGTCCATGGGAAGAGAACAGCTCTACCCTAGATCTGTTCTATGGAGCAACTACAAGCAGAGCTTAACCCATAAATCCAAATACCCTGTGCACACATAATACCTGATCTGTATCAACTGAGTGAAAACTCAACTCAGTGAAGCATGAGACAAAGCCAGGGCATTTTTGACAGACACCAACTTCCACTACAGGGCAAGTCTGAGTACAAGCTGCTTTCTTAAGCATGTGGAGGGTGGAGTGCTTTGAAACCCCTGAGTTTTGAAGGGCTCAGCTCCCAGCAACCAGAAAGAGACAAGATGCACAGGATGTCTCAAACCACCTGTTAGTCCTCTTGTGCAATAAGATGCTAGACAGTTGAAGTGTACTTCGGTTGTCTGGCCTGATCAATGGTCAGGGATAAGATGCACTAGGCTTAGGAGTTCAAAGGCTTATTTTTTATCAGAAGAGATTACAGTGATACCATTTACAGCCTTGAGTTCAGGAGTACATGTCCTCATTTCTACTGTACCCCCCCAGACTCCCTCAGCAGTTCCTTCACTAGCTATAAGGAATTAAACTGTTATTCTCTATTCTCTCCAAGTCAGGAGATTCTCTCCATTAGAAAGCAACTGAGCTTTGTGCCTCCAAGCACACGAGTATGAAGAAAGAAATCTATGTCATCTCCATCACAGTAGTTCTTTACAGACAGCAAAGCAACCTCTGATACTTGCACAATTTCAGAAGCAAGGGCCATGCACTGCCTGTGAGAAAAGTTTCTAGAACTACATCCTTTGTCACTAGTTAGTCACCAGTAGCTCACTCTTCCCATTTGCTTACACAGTGCAGCTCTTGCCTGGTGTCCTGCAGATGTGAGACACTGTGACAGTTCTTACTCCTTGGAAGCATTATATCCCATCTTCCTCCAGCTGCAGCAAGGAGAAGTCTTGTGTTCTGCAGGGTTTAGGAACATCTAACTTTTAGCATTCAGAGAGAAGCTAAAAAGCAAAAGCTCAGCAGTGACTGCTGAACAGA